GTTACTTTGAATTTTTTTCAAGAGGAAAGAATCCAGTAGTATTTTGAAATTCATTGAAATCAATATCAAAGATTTCAATAAAAAAAATTGGTGCCATACATTGTCTGTACACAAGTATTACATACAGGGGTACAGGGGGTGTCGTATCATAATCGCCCATGAAGGGAGGGGGTCACAAAAAATTTCCAAAAAGTACCAACGGTAGGGTCGAGTCTGTTCGGGGGAGGTTCTTTTATTGGATTCCACCCAGACGGAAGTCTTCCACAGTTGCATAAACTATGAATGATGTAAGCAAAAGCAAGGAGAAACTGGAGCTAAACGGTACCATAAAATATTACAGGGTCTCGGAACATTCTACGTAACTTTCTGGACGAACCAGCATTCGCCGACCGTCGTTATGAAATCAGATGTGACCGTCTACATCGATGATTTGACGACAAAGTGTAGGCAGTAGCTTATTACATGCGCATAAAATTCTTTTTCGTATATGTCTTCAATAAACGCTTCTGAATGCGAAGTTTTAGTCAAACATTGAACAATTCTCTATGCATACAAATTCCTTACATTTGTTTTAGATCAGGTGTGTGGGATGTCATGTACAAGACCGTAAGCCAACCCATCTCTATGGAGTCAGTGAAGTCCTTCCCGCCCAGCAACTATTGCGTGTGTCGCGTACTCCACGACCGGTGGCAGACTCTGCGAAACCGATAGCGATTCGAGAGGTGTGAGCAAGATCAAGCATGCGTTGAGGTATCTCCCACAAGGCGCGCATTAACCCATTGGCGACAGTGCGATTTTTCGTTTGTCTGCCACGTGGGACCACGCTTTTTTTATATCTTTGAAAAATGCATCATAATGCAGCAAACTACCAACACCAGAAAAATTATCTCTACGCTGCGTCCCCACATCGAGCCGCTACGTCGCCAATGGCTCAAATCCAGTGAGAGAGAGAGGGGTCGTTTCAGTTGATCTCGCTGTCATTCAAAGTGAAGGACTAAATCAACTGACTAAGGTCAAACGCGGCGGGAAGTGTGTAGTGGCAAGTGGCACGCTTACCACGCGAGCGGTCCGGGGTCGCCCGGGCCAACCAAGCCTTCCATCCCTCCGGGGTCGGTTAATTGGTACCAGACTTGTCTGGGAGGATAAAAACACTGACTTGTACATCGGCTGGCCCCCGCAAGTCATTGTATAGGCCACATCGCATTCAAACGCCACTACGAATGTACAAATGGAAGTAGAATGCGTGCCGCATCCCAAAAAGGGATTGATCAACGGCAAATGCTTTATCCTTTTATCTTTAACGTCGAAAGCTTCATTTATCGTGAAGTGAAGAATACATAAGACACCGACAAACATTGGCACAATAGGCAGACTTTCAAAATTAAGAATAGACAGTAAAAGTGAAAAGCCATTGAAGAGGAATTGAGAGCAAACGATCAAAAGCTTACTAATCGATTTCTCATTGCAAGGCACTGACTATGAGAGGAACACTGTGCCTCTTGAAAATTCGGCTCTCGAAGATAACTGCTGTACTTCCGCAGTAATCGCCAACTTCTTGTGAGGCGCTGGGGACGCTCCTTCCCCCTCCGCCGCCCCACCCCTACACCACGATTCACTGTTCATTGCACTAAGAACAACGGCGAGAGGTCATATTTCATAACTTTTGGGAAGTCATATTTTGCAGAACGGCACCGTATTTCTGGAAGACACAGACATAGAAACCTTTTCGGCGATCTGAAGGTTTTTTCTACAAAAGTTGGACTACTACTTATGGAACTAACGTCAAGTCTCAATTACAACCACGATAGGAATGCCAGCTGTAAATAAATGGCACGCTGAGGTTAATGCTAAGGGAAGAGTCGTAAGAATTTTGATATTGGCACGCCAACCACACGGCCGGTTTGTACCAACTCTCCAAGTGAAGGGAGGTAAAATTTGAAACCTCTATATGAAATTATCCGCTTAGAAGCGGAAATAACCCTCATGGCTTTGGTCATGATCTTAGTGCCTTTGTTAAATGAGAAAATCACAGATTCTTCGACCAACTAAAGTTTTCTGACATAAAGTTTGGGTATTCAGACGACAAAGTCTAGGACAACGAATAACTGATGATTATTTCCAGAGAGTATGGAATACACATCCTCAAATATCACATATTTCTCTAAAAGAGAAGATAAGAAAATCGCAATAACAATTTGAAGGAACCCATAATTACGGGTAAGCGCTATATAGCTACATAGAAATCTTAGCAATACTCTGACTAGACCCCGAACAGAAGAACCCAGATTATGCAAAGTAAGGCTTCTACGTACAACCCGTTTTTTGTACCCCCTCCCACCCTCTCCCCACGTCTTATACGTTGTGTCACATGCATGAATCAACTATCTCCACGTGCTCTACGAGGTCACTCAGCTATCCACTGATTTAATTGATCCATGGGCTGACGCATGGTTGATGTCCTCGATCTCGGTCCGCAACAACTGAAATTCAGGCGTTTAATTTAGAATCGAGATCAGCCCAAAATGTTGCAGAAAAAAGGTAAGGGAATTCACAGAAAAACATTTCATGTGTGTTGTCCTTTCTCCATTCCAGCTTCGAAAGCGAACACAGTTCGCTGTATTACGGTTACATTAATAGAAGTATATATGGATACAGAAAAGGAAGAGTCTTTCACCCAGGTTAACTTGCGTTGCGCAGATTTCGAAATTTTCACCCCCACCCCCCCTCCTCAAGTTGAAAGACGTATCTCAATAACAACTCCTGAATACCAATAGCTTAGACGCGAGAGTGAGGAGGGTAGGAGAGCCTCCCCCTAATACGAGCCCCTTTCTCTCCTCTGCCATTTCTGGAGACCATCGACGTAAGCTCAAATCTGCCACTTTTCCTTACTAAAAACAGCCGTTTGAGCGGGAGGTGGGGAGGGGGGGGTTAAATGGATAGGTGAAGGGAAATCCACCAGATCTGTCTATTTCACGCTACTTTCATGAGACATTCACCTTAATTTTCCAAAAAATGTCGAAAGCAACCCTATTTTCGACAACTACGATCCCGTCAACTTCCAAAAATACGCCTCTTTTCCACTTTTTGACCTTCACCAACCCAAAATACGACCCTCTCTCCAGAAAAACTCAGCTACGACGCCCCCTCCCCGTTGATAACTGCGCGAACGCGGTTAACCCTGCTTTCCCTATCAGTCTACCGACTTGACTGATATGCGCCAGCAAAATGACCCTTGTCCCCTCTCCCTTCTCCTGTGTAGTTCGATCTGTGGGCATGGACAGCTCAACGCATCCTTAGCGCCTTTAAGCTCTGTAGGGTGGGCCACCATTGTGACCAGCGTAGCTTGGAGCAGCGTCAAGTTTGTAGTTGACAGAGCAAAAGCTGAGGAAGAATTTCGGTGCAGATTTGGCGGTTAGGCTGAGGGTAAGTTAAGTGTTGAGTCTTATAATAACAACGGTGACTACATCGATATCCTTCTTCGAGCCGGTTTTTTTTGCAAAAGTAAGGCAATTTTTCATTTTCATTTTTCTTTTGATCTTGAATTTTCTTAACTGAGTCCATACCGTCATTCCGTCCTGACACAGCCCTCAAATAAGACCTATTTTGACAGTTACGCACCTCTCTTAAAGACACTACTCCAACAAGACGGCCAAGCTTTGTCACGTACGCTCGACGAAGACCCATCAGTGAGAACACCGAATGGATCTGAAACACCAGCCAATTAATTGGTTGTAAACAAATTATTAGCAACAATAGGTAAGCAATTAATAAACTTCGATAGTAATTATGCAATATTTATCATCGGAAGTGAGTTGAGGGGGGGGGGTGGTCCCGGGTGGTGGAACTGATAGCACACTTGCCCAGAAAACAAAAGATCCGGGTACGAATCCCGGCTTCTTGTGGCACCTTTCGCAACGCTTACTGCGTTATTACAGCATTTCTCCCATGAAAACAAGTCAAAAAACACGATTGCAATATTTTGTGCATCCCTGGCTTCAGTATGAACAGTAAACATGTAGTGAGACTTGTGAAGGAAAGTTTCTGAGAATTGAACGGTCACAGCTATTCACGGCGTAAGATGGCGCTTATCAGCCTTGAACACCAATTGCAAGGGGCTGGTTTTAAGCTGTTTTTGGCGGATATTCATCGAGATGTATTTATTCACTTTAAAGAAAGGTCAGCTTTTTATGGGGATTTCGATAGTTGACAGATAAATTTCGATCTGCAAAGAGACCCTGCACAAACCTCTTGATTCAACTCCAAAAATAGTTGGATTGAGAACGATCCTTGACAATATGGACGAAAAGAGGAAAAAAGCTACTGTTCTGGCAAAATTCACGAAATCTTCTACACCTTCATAGTCGCGCCGTGAAACTGTCACTACTGCGTCGGGGGACGTTCTTCTAGGCTTCTTCGGCATTACACGGCTTTTGTGGGAACTTCTTTGGCTCCTCTCGTGACGTCAATCCTGCGTTTGAAAGATCTAGTTCAGCAGTCTACCTGTTTGGCAACTAGTTAGAAGAAGGACTTTACCTTTTAATGCACCTGGTACCTTCTCACACTGAAACGACAACTGCTCGACTTTTCCAAGTTTACAAAGATGAATCTGATTCCTTTCCTATTGATCGATACGTCTGCTTTACCCACGCACTCGTCCAATGTGCCTCCTTGAGTCAGCATCAGGGGGTGTGAGCTGACCACAAAGGGTGGTGGTCAACGGGTATTGTTCTTTTCGAAAAGATGGTCTCATGCGTTGCATCGTTTACGGGAAGTACTAGTGATCGTCATGTAATAATATGTCTGTTTATACACATTGGTGGACGCGTGTCATTCAATCTCATGCGACAATTGAGTTCACATCTCTAAAAACTTATCTAACAAAGGCTTGGGTGGTTGGTCTTATAGAGGGGGAAACATTTTTGATTTCGTTTCGGGGCAGTAGTGTGTGTGTGGTTGGGTATGGATAATGTGTTTGGTCTTGGTCGTGATATAATGAGTTTGGTTGGGTGTTGTTTTGTGTAGTTAGAGTGCAGGACAAGATGGAAGCGCGGAGGGATTAGTAGAGGATTGATGTTTCATTGAGTGTAGATATTTTGTAATGTTTGTCATAATAGTTTATTGATTGGTCTGTTTAGTAAGCTTTCCTCGGTGTTGGATCGGTTAATGTAATTAATGATGTGTTATGTAAATTGTTTGGTGGTGAGTTTGTTCGATATAATGAAGTAGAGTGAATGGATTATTAACGTGTGATGATCTTTTGGGGTAATGGGGTAAGTTTTTGGAGGTTTGTGGGGTATACGTCTTTTGTTACTCGGGGAGTGCGTAGATTATCAGTTTTTTCTTGTTTTTTTGGAAGGACGTTTTGTGTTTTGTTGAGTGGTTGGAGCTGGCTCTTCGGTGCCACAGGATGGTATGATGTGTTTCGGACGAAGTTGGCGGAACGGGTGTAGATGGTTTGGACGGAATGAAGGATTAAATGGTTGCGTATTTTTATGGGTGTTGTGTGGTTTACGTTGGGGGTCGGGACTGAGAGGAGTTTGGGACAAGGTATTGAGGGGCGGGACCCGCGTTGTGAAGAACTCCCAACTTCCAGTCCGACTTGTCTTCCAACGTCCTCCTACGCTCACGGATTTCTTCACATCATCCCGAATATACGAAAATCAGTGTCAAGAACAAATTTTTCGATACTGCACATCAGAGAAGATTCGCCGTTTATCTTGTTCAGTGCCAAGAATGTGGAGAAAAATATGTGGGAGAAACGCAAGACCTGAAGATTCGTCTGGATTAGCTTGGACTAGCACAGGAGAGCGTTGAGCAATCCCGCCGGTTACCCTCGCAGTAGCATCTCCAGGCACCGTACGTTGAGGCATGAGAATGAGAATGCTCCAATCAATCTACGATCCAAAAGAGCCATTGATAAAAATCAAGACAAAGGAAGAATGCAAAACAAAGATTATAACCACCTTGAGAATTGAGGTGTTCTCGACGAGCTGAAATGGCGCCGCATCAATGGGGATCGATTGTAAATCCAACGAACTTGACAGTTGCTCAGCTTCCCAAATGGCCCGCTGAAAACAAGAAGATTAGAAAAAGGCGAGCGTTTTGTGGATACGATCCTTATCATTTTGTTCCACTTTGGTAAATGTCACATTGTCACTTCAGTCATTCTGTTCAGAACGCTGATTTCTTCAGAGCGGGCAATATCGAAGTTTCGTGAAAGGTATTGGCAAGCCTTGAAAAATCAGAAGGTCCGCTGACTTGTACGTTTTAGATTATTACGAGAATGAATTCCATCCGTGAGAGAGACAGAAGAGTGCATAGGGCTACGAAGTGGCTACTATATATAAACCAGAGTTTGTTTGTCTGTTCCGCTCCCCAAAAATTCGCAAGTGTCCCCCTCCCCCCATGTTTATAATTCTTCCTTCAAAAATCACCTAGGGAGGGCGGGTCAAGTTTGGAATGGATAGAGTATGAGTCGCTCTATAAAAGAAATATATTGGCTATGAAAAAATTCGCCCACGGTGGGCGGGCATGATTCCAAATAGGTAATTTTGGTGAAAAAAATGCCGGGTTTGTTTTCAGAACATCACAGAGTAGCCATTAGCTTCTCCTGTATGTATTTTTTTTTTGAATTTGGAAACTTTTAAAAACTTTTGGAATTCTTTTGGAATAAAACTTTAGGAGCTTCTCTATGTTAAACATATTTGAGTCCTGATTGAGTTCCCGGGACAGCGCAATATGAGAGTATTTCTTTTTTCTTGAGTTACGATACGGAGACCATGCCAACGTCTCCTGTCTGAACAGAGTGGAAGGGTTGGGGAATGGGTCAAGGTAGATTAGCAGGTGTCAAGACGATTGCAGTTGGCAAAAATACGATAGCGTGTAGGAAAATCTGCACAAGCTCACCAGTGGACCCGAAGTGAAAAACACAAATTGTTCAGTTTTTATAGTCTACTTGAGAAGTGCAGGTTTGCTTGTCCAAGATAATATCTATCCATCTCCGTGGATACGTGTATCCTTCTGAAGTTAGCCTCGCCGGAGGACCCGGAGGACCAACTGATGACTGTCTCATGACCCCATAACATCATCGCCAGTCAGCTCTTTTCCGCGGTTCGCTTTCGTCGTATAATATGAGTAAGTTTGTTGGGTGAATCCCATAGCTGCCATTTTCTAAACGGTGCTGTGTCGGAGCCGCTAGTGAAATCGCCATACATAAAGGTCAAGAGCAAGCAGGCTTTGCATTATCTGGAGTGTTGGACAAATGACACCGGTATGCAAACTTCTTCATGTTACTCAGATCTTCTGAATAGTTCCTGTCTTTTTGTCGGATTCGCTAGAGTTGATGAGCAAAGAGCAACGAGAGGAAGGGTAGAGCGCAAGCAAATCATAAACTTGAACCAAAAAAAAACAAAATTCAAGTCGATGTATGTTCAGGGCTATAAAGGCGACGATTTCAGCCGAGGCGTTAGACTAATCGACTGGAGAGTTTCACCCAACGAACGCGTAAGGCCAAAACGTAATTAACTTCGTCATTTTTAGCTACATGTAGTTCAAGACAACCAAGAACTCCAAACAGCCAACTTTTCGACATCTTCGCCTCGTGGTAGTCGATATGACAAAGGAAATGAATGAGACTTGCTCTCCCGAAGCCTCATCGATTTTAGAGACAATATCGGCAATCCAGTTTGATAAACAGCGAACTCGATCAACAGAATCCTGTTACTAAGCCCACCTTGATTCGCCGCTATGGAGTTGTGAGGGCGGCAATCCTCGTGAAACCCAGACCTAGTAACATGCTTTTGTAGAGAGGATGGCAAATGAAATGAGTACTTGAATTTAAAGCAGCTATTCAGCAGCACCAGGCGGAGTCTCGACCTTTTTTTTAATTTTGGGGGTGTTGTCGCAAGATTCGCGTGCATTAGAAAGTGCATTGCGTGCCAGTGCATTAAAAACCAAACAAAACATCTAATCATGTTAAAAACAATAGTAAGCTAGACCCAGTCTTGGAGGATTGCCGTATCTCGCAATAGCATCGTTTTTGCCATTATTTTTGGTCACTCGCCAGATGCGAGGAGCGTTATCGTTAAAATCATGTTAAAGGAGGAATTCACGATTAGAATGAAGGTCGAAGAAAAGTAATTGACCTAGTTGAGGGACCCACGGACCTCCTGAGGGTGCGAACTGACGCGCAATTCGCATGAAAAATTTGACCTCGGCGACCTATCATGCCTCAAAGTTGGCGGGTCCGGCGATCTCCGCCCACCGATCATCTGATCACTCGCCGCAGTCTATACGTGGCGAGTGATTAGATAGCAGAGAGAGCGTAGTGTTGAAGAGGGCACAGCGATGAGAGTCGCATCAATGCTCAAATCAACGGGCAAGGAAGGGGTCCATTTCTCGGGTTCTGGGCCGTTTCTCATGGTTCTTCCTTCTTTCGTGTACCACTCACCATCCCTAGGTTAATTTGAAATGGGTTGCTTTTTCATCGTGAAATTCTCCTTTAAGTTTGAAGTAACGAGTAACCTTACATTATTCAAGGCATTCCTATAAAAAAGTATGTAGATTTAGCAAACAGTAGAAATAGAGTGCTAGGTAGATCACATCTCATTCAGAATGTGCTACAGCCTTGACATGTATTGTGTTTGAGAACCTCAGCCTGTATGTCAGGTTCTAACATGTTCCTTCTTGTTAGTAACAGCGAGAACATACACGTCAGCAGATGTCCCTCGTCGGGCAACAGACTCAAAATTTGATACCTTTGCCCTACTCTTCAGATCTCCATTGAAACGTTTTCCTGATTGAGACATACCTCCTCTCCGCTGAGGTCCATCACGTCCTTCCTATTCTTGGAAACAAATCGACTCATGGATCGCCTCAAGACACCTGCAAAATTGAGAACTTTTTCAAGGAGTTCTGGATGCACTCCGAAGCGCATAGTTCATACAAATGGTTTTTGATTGAATGGTAGTTATTTCGCGCTTTTAGCTGGCAGATGGATCGGTAGTAATTTTTGTAAGGATTTCCCTTTTGTGATCCATTCACGTTTCCAGAAATAATGTGACATTCACGTATTGTCTATGATGGTAGATTCTATTGTTTTTACAATTGAGTGTTTATCGAACAATTTGTGTTTTTGGATCATTTCAACTACTTTCTACAGACAGTAAAATGAGCGTCTGCCTTTGTTAGCATCACGGAGTGGTCTCTTGGAATTCGTATTCAGATCAAGCAGATGAACGCGTCACCACCCGTCCCTCTTGTGCTGAGGTCGTGGCATGGTTATCCAAAAATTTTGAAGAGGCTCCTTAATTTGTCGCATCTTCCGTCTTTACTCACGAGTGGCTCATCACATCATCCAATATTTACGGAACTCGATGTCGCAAGCAATCATGTCGATACTGAACATCTGAGAAGATATGCGAATTACAGGGCACCGTATAATTAAATGAACTTAGGAGAGGAGGAGAGAAGTACAGAGGGGTTGATGAATAATGATGTTGTTGATACCGCGATTACTGAGGATGCGCCCAGACGATTGCAGAAGAGCACTGGTCAATCCCGCTGCTATTTTACGAGCTACATACTTTGTTGCACGCGTCGTACCTGAAACAAAAAGGGGGAAACGCTCAATCTTCCGAGTGAGCGAGCTACACAAGCATTAGGTATGGCTCTCGGGATGGAAGATTATTTAAGTGCAGAAAACACATACAATGAATCCAGAAATGAATGACAACGGAGAACTAGGTGCGTTTCTCAGGTTTTGCGTGATTGGCGTATCATTTTCTGTTCTCATAGGTCTCCTAGACCGAACAATGAAGTATTTTATTTTCGCTCCGACATTGCCTACGTTTCGGCCCGTCCGTTTCGGTCCGTTTTAAGAAAAAACCAGAAATGGATGAAAACGAAGTCTTCTTTTTGAATAGATTCATTCCAAAGTGCGAGCAAGAAGGCTTACTGATGCAGATGAATTACGAGAAACACAAAGCGAAAGAGGCTGTGAACGAGGCGCTCACGGAGCTAGAAGAAGGCTTGATCAAAAAAAGCATTTTCAAAAGCCCTTTACAAGAGAATTTTTCATCATTCACGGCTCGTGCGTTGTTGGTGCACCAGTGCTCTCTCCAGGACAAAACTCAAAACTGAACATTCAGGAATAATAACGAATATAATAATGAATATAATATTTTGTTCTATGAACGCTCTTTTATTTGCTATTTTTGATCCTGTAGTTCCCCTTCGCCAATAGTTTCCAAATTATTGGTGTCCATTTGAACTATGGCTCCACCAACACGAAAAAGCATAACTAGCAAAACATCCTCAACTCCCAAACATTCAAATGCCAATATCACTTCAAAAGTGATTGCGATACTCATTCTCCACCTTGAGTGTCTGAACTTCTCGATACTGTTGCCGCTGATCCCGTGATCAACGAAATGCTCGTAGCTCTGATCCCGTGATCAACAAAATGCTCGTAGCTCTCAGGGCTAAAATTCAAGCCGAACTATTGAGAGCAATGAATGCCGAGAAAAGAATCGCGGTATTGTTATATGCGTTCTTGATGAAGCATTCGACAGTATGAAACCTTCTGAAGAGCAGAATATCTGGGTACAAATGTTGTGGACATTCTGTGTATCCGCAACGTAGAGTGTCATCCCGTTGAAAAATAGAAAATGGATAAAATTCCTGAAAAACATTCTCGTTTAGTGAAGGCTGTACTTCACTCAGAGGCTCATTGGATAAGTGCTCTCTCAAACGCCCGCCTTTTATTCATCCCTGTTTACGTGCGTATTCCATGACTCGAGAAGAACGTGAGCGCGACCACGAGCTGCGACAAGGAGCTCAACGCAACACAGGAGGTAAAAGAAGATGTGGGTAGTTTATCGTGGTGATGCATACCACGCAAGCATATACTAATACAGCATAGGGAAATGTGCAGGTTGCCAAAAATCGCTCGCAACTCTGAAATGTTTTCTCATCAACGCAAGAAGCCTTATCAATAAACTGCAACATCTTCACCATCTCTTATCTACTTACACCCTAGATTCCGCGTTTATCACCAAAACGTGGCTCATTAGGAACATTTATGACTCAGAATTTATAAGGGGTCTACCTTATGCGTGAACCTGGTCCAGGTGGAGCAGCACGCCGTCTGATGAAAGAATGTTTTTGTTTCGTACGTAATTTATTTTAGCTAGAATCCAGATCTGACTGTATCAACCCACGCGATTCCGAAAAGGGAATG